ACTTTTGTATTTTTGATGTAGAGAAACAGAGTTATATAGACCCCAACGGTTGAGACGTACGTTTGCAATCGTACGTTTAATAAGTAACAATAAAATCAATAGTTGCAATGGTTAATAAAGTAACCGTTTTATTAACACTTAAATCTCTAACATAAACCATTTGCAGCAATATAATTTGTACATTTTGAATACTAGTTTTCAAAAGTCACTTTAAGTTGGTCACACTATTTTGTGGCAGCTTCATCTGCTTTTTCATGGACAAATGTATACTACTACAAAGAATCTTCTTTAGTTCCTTGATTTTATAACAGATATTGCTTTGCAAATTCTAGTTGGCATTACTACTAGCTTTTATCAATTATATGCTATAAAGCTTATTAATGTGAGTATGTTTTCATTGCGTGTTTGATTCGGACTATCTTCTTCAACATATACAAAGATGATATGTGGTATTTGAAATCATACATTGTTGGTGTACAAAGCATCAAATTCTCAAGTTGTTGGCTACACAAAAACCTATCATATGCAACACCATACACTATTTGACAAAAACAAAAATATATATCTTCCTCTTCAGTACCTTGGCCTCTCCCTGAGATTAGTGGATTTTTCGCTTCTTTTCTTCTGCGAGAGCTCTTCCGTTTGCGTAATCAAGAACGGTAAAATGAAGCATAGAATCAGTAGCATTCCAGAACATTCCAATCTCTTGTCCTTCCCTCAAGCCTCTTCTTGTGATAAAAGCTTTTCGCCAGTCACCCCTTAGCACATAGTGGTTACTCTGGAGTACGAGACACATCTTATGAGTTGTCTCCGTGTCATGGTCATACACGTTTACAGTGATTCCGGGCTTATCTGTGGCTAACTTTTGCAAAATTGCTTCAGGGAGATGGTTCTGAAAGTAGGGCTCAAGGGAACTTCTGGGCAGCCTAAGACGGCAAGCAGTAAGGCTAATATCGGTCAGGTTCAGTATCCTCTTGATGGGCCATTGTTCTCTGTTGACAACTCTAGGCCTAGGGTTAGGGACCATCTTAATCTCTTCTCTAGCTCTTTTTGCATTCATCATTGATTCAATGCTTCCACAAGGAGGAAGAGAAATGTTACTCTGGAGTTCACAAGTGTTTGTACCATATCCTTCTTCACCTAAAGCCGTAAAATCAAGAACTATTCTGATGTACAGTCACAACCAAAACAAGTCCAAAAAGCAGAAAAAGAACGAATTTACTTACCCATTTCACTTTGAGGGTTGTGCAATGGCAACATTGGCGCATCGGAATCTTCAAGATTCAAGAAAGACTGGTCATTGTTGTTCTCGAACTCTCCAGAGGTAGGATTCATCTGTATCGAATCATGAGGATCTCTTTGTGAGCCTATGTTCCCTGCAACACGTACACAACAAGTAAAGCTTTTCAGAGAAAAACGATTAGGGCTGTCTCTTTCTTATCGTTTCATATAACTTGAGAAGAAAGTAACCTCCGAGCATGCCACCAGAAGGATTCAAGAGGTTTCCAGTACTGTTCGTAACGATGTTATCACTTCCGTAGTAATTTGGGTTTTCCCAGAACGAGCCATATCGATACTTCAAGACTTCTTCATCTCTGTTCAACGGAAGAACATTCGTCGCTTGTGTTTCTTGGCTCGTACTCGTCTCACTCTTCTTCTCCGTTTCCTTGGATGACAAGAAAGATGCACCTTGAGGAGGTTGTTGATTCTTCTTCGTCGGAGATGATAAATGATCGTCGGAGAGAGACATCTCTGTTTCCTTGGGTCGCAAGAATGAAGAATCTTTAGTGATCTTTTTTGCTAAATAATCTTTAGTGATCTTGAGTCAATACTCGTTCGATTTCTTTTTCGTCGGAGAAAGTTATCGTTAAAAAACGATTTTAAAGAGACTGTAAGAGGATTTCGCGCGAGTCGTATATTTATGTTACGAATAGTTAATTATCTAAAATTAACTAAAGGATCAAGTGATACAGTACAAGCTGAAAACTCCTAACAAAACTGAAATTTAACGAACACCTCTAGTTAGTTGACAAAAATAAAAATAAATTAATTAATTAACGAACTCCTCTAGCTTGGAACCATAGTTGAGATTTGCAAGCATTGGAGTTAAGTGATACCGAAGTGCAACCATTCGATTATGGACTGATTTCTCTATAACCCGGATAAGATAATGGGTGGGATGATATATATGTTGGTGGCATCTTTCATTTAACGCGTGCAAGACATGATAAATCGTTGTTACTAAATGAAATTCCTTAAAATACTACCAAAATACACAAACACTAAGAATAATTTTAAGAGTTTATAATTTAATTTCTTTTAGATTTTTTTTTTAATATTCCTTTTAGATTTAAGTTTAACTAGGTGTTTATAACACACTAGAGTAGGATCCGCGTTAATACGCAGGTAAATACTATAAAAATTAATAAAATA